ATCGAGTCTGACGCACTGTACACACGATGAGTGGATAGTTATATACTTTTCATGTTTTGTTTCTTTAGGGAACGGGGAGATATAAGTTGTATACTGATGAGTAGGGATGCTCCGATACCACTTATTTAAGACCGAGTACGAGTACCGATACCAATTACCGATACTTTTTCTTAAAGGGACAGGTCACATTTTTCCTAAAGCAATACAAAATCATGATTTTAGGTCAGTTTCTTAATATTATGAAGAACATGAACATGAAATGAACATGAAATGAATATTTAGATCTTGCCAATGCTAACTAAGGCTTGTGTCCCCATAGTGGGGAAAATAGATGAGCACATGTCCAGACTATGTATAGTGTGGCACAGCTATATCCAATTCTGCATACCTGGCGGTGCTGCAGTACCAACCTGCTGTGTCGTGTCGTCTTCTCCGTCTGCTTCAGCCACTCCGTGTCACAGCCTAGTCATCTGCTCCATTCTGGCCTCTTCTCCCGCTGTTTGGCCGATTGGATGATTGACAGGCATCCTCACCAGTCACTCCTGACTGGTGAGGAAGCCTGTCAATCATCCAATCAGCGGGAGAAGAGGTCAGAATGGAGCAGATGACTGAGGACTTGGGAGGAGGACTTCGCGGCCATCTTGTTCCATTGAAGACGCGACGGAGGTCCTGTGTTTGCGGCGGTTTTTCGGGTCCTTGAAGATGGCGGACGCGGCGCAGGTACTCGTTTTTTGTATCGGAGTATTTGTACGAGTACTCATGCAAATACTCGGTATCGCCGCCGATCGCGATGCTTGTATCGGTATCGGAGCATCCCTAATGATGATGACGTATCGCCGCCGGTGGAAGCCGCACACCAGTCCCAGGACAGTACAGCAGCATCACTGGCAGGGCAGGGCTGATACCAGCTGTGATCCGACCCCCGAGCGGGATTGCGCGGGGAAGAGTCAAAACCTCCCGGTGACTTTGTGTGCCGACGGGGAAATTCACCTTCACTTCCTGTCCCGGAGACAACGCTGTAATGTTCGCAGTCCAAGGGGCAGGAAGTAGGCGGGGCAGGGACACGGCGTGTGCAGCACTGCAGCCCCTGAAATGATTTTTATTATGATTGTTCTGGAGTTCTATTCCCGCCCTCAACGGCGTCCATCACCAAGATGGCCGCGCCTGCGCGATGACGTCACAGCGGGGTGTCACCCGGCCTCGGGACCTCCGCTGATCGTTCTCAGGTATTTGCAGGGTGAATGGGTCCTGCGAATCGTTTACAAATTCGCAAAGTCGGACATTTCTATCCCAGCGAGTGTCACCCGATCAGTGATTAGTATCACTAATGATGGTGATTATGATGATGGAGATGACGGTGATGATGATGATGACAATGGTGATGTTGGTGATGATGGTGATGATGGAGATGACGGTGATGATGGTGATGGAGATGACCGTGATGATGAGGGTGATGACGGTGATGATGATGATGACAATGGTGATGTTGGTGATGATGGTGATGGAGATGATGGTGATTATGATGATGGAGATGACGGTGATGATGATGATGACAATGGTGATGTTTGTGATGATGGTGATGATGGAGATGACGGTGATGATGGAGATGACGGTGATGATGATGGTGATGATGGAGATGACGGTGATGATGGTGATGGAGATGACCGTGATGATGATGATGGAGATGACTGTGATGATGATGGAGATGACCGTGATGATGATGACGGTGATGACAATGATGATGATGGAGATGACGGTGATGGAGATGACGGTGATGATGGAGATGATGATGGTGATGATGATGGAGATGACGGTGATGATGGAGATGATGATGGTGATGATGATGATGGAGATGACGGTGATGATGATGATGGAGATGAGGATGATGATGATGGAGATGATGGTGATGGAGATGACGGTGAAGATGATGATGACAGTGATGATGACGTTGGTGATGATGATGATGAGAATGGTGATGTTGGTGATGATGATGATGGAGATGACCGTGATGATGATGATGGAGATGACGGTGATGATGATGATGGAGATGACGGTGATGATGATGATGATGATGGAGATGACGGTGATGATGGAGATGATGATGGTGATGATGATGATGGAGATGACGGTGATGATGATGATGGAGATGACGGTGATGATGATGATGGAGATGACGGTGATGATGATGATGGAGATGACGGTGATGATGGAGATGACGGTGATGATGATGATGGAGACATTCAGGGCAGATTATTGGCCGTGTTTTTCGGTATGGTGTTTTGTGCGTATTACTGAAGCCTGAATCTCAGTGCGGCGCCACGTTCATTGTGAATGGGCCCCTCAGGCACCTCACCAGCATACAACGCAGATGGGAACCGCTGAGAGAATTGCTGGGAAGCCGCAGCGGTCACGTTTGGTCCTCCTCATGCCTGGAGATCGGCCGCCCGGGATTGGAGGACGTGTGATTGGTATACGAGGTCAGCTGATTGTTTCTTCTCCTTCAGTATATGTTCTGCGAATTGTCCGGATGTTTTACCTGAAAGCTGAGCTGCTGCCAGAGCATTGCTCCCGGCCTGGGACTGAGATCCCTACCGGCCCGGGACTGAGATCCCTCCCGGCCCGGAACTGAGATCCCTACCGGCCCGGGACTGAGATCCCTACCGGCCCGGGACTGAGATCCCTACCGGCCCGGGACTGAGATCGCTCCCGGCCCGGGACTGAGATCCCTCCCGGCCCGGGACTGAGATCCCTCCCGGCCCGGAACTGAGATCGCTCCCGGCCCGGGACTGAGATCCCTACCGGCCCGGGACTGAGATCCCTCCCGGCCCGGGACTGAGATCCCTCCCGGCCCGGGACTGAGATCCCTCCCGGCCCGGGACTGAGATCCCTCCCGGCCCGGGACTGAGATCGCTCCCGGCCTGGGACTGAGCTGAAGCCTGCGCCGGGTCTCCGGGGGGATCGGCCCGGGACTGAGATCGCTCCCGGCCCGGGACTGAGATCGCTCCCGGCCTGGGACTGAGCTGAAGCCTGCGCCGGGTCTCCGGGGGGATCGGCCCGGGACTGAGATCGCTCCCGGCCTGGGACTGAGCTGAAGCCTGCGCCGGGTCTCCGGGGGGATCGGCCCGGGACTGAGATCGCTCCCGGCCTGGGACTGAGCTGAAGCCTGCGCCGGGTCTCCGGGGGGATCGGCCCGGGACTGAGATCGCTCCCGGCCTGGGACTGAGCTGAAGCCTGCGCCGGGTCTCCGGGGGGATCGGCCCGGGACTGAGATCGCTCCCGGCCTGGGACTGAGCTGAAGCCTGCGCCGGGTCTCCGGGGGGATCGGCCCGGGACTGAGATCGCTCCCGGCCTGGGACTGAGCTGAAGCCTGCGCCGGGTCTCCGGGGGGATCGGCCCGGGACTGAGATCGCTCCCGGCCTGGGACTGAGCTGAAGCCTGCGCCGGGTCTCCGGGGGGATCGGCCCGGGACTGAGATCGCTCCCGGCCTGGGACTGAGCTGAAGCCTGCGCCGGGTCTCCGGGGGGATCGGCCCGGGACTGAGATCGCTCCCGGCCTGGGACTGAGCTGAAGCCTGCGCCGGGTCTCCGGGGGGATCGGCCCGGGACTGAGATCGCTCCCGGCCTGGGACTGAGCTGAAGCCTGCGCCGGGTCTCCGGGGGGATCGGCCCGGGACTGAGATCGCTCCCGGCCTGGGACTGAGCTGAAGCCTGCGCCGGGTCTCCGGGGGGATCGGCCCGGGACTGAGATCGCTCCCGGCCTGGGACTGAGCTGAAGCCTGCGCCGGGTCTCCGGGGGGATCGGCCCGGGACTGAGATCGCTCCCGGCCTGGGACTGAGCTGAAGCCTGCGCCGGGTCTCCGGGGGGATCGGCCCGGGACTGAGATCGCTCCCGGCCTGGGACTGAGCTGAAGCCTGCGCCGGGTCTCCGGGGGGATCGGCCCGGGACTGAGATCGCTCCCGGCCTGGGACTGAGCTGAAGCCTGCGCCGGGTCTCCGGGGGGATCGGCCCGGGACTGAGATCGCTCCCGGCCTGGGACTGAGCTGAAGCCTGCGCCGGGTCTCCGGGGGGATCGGCCCGGGACTGAGATCGCTCCCGGCCTGGGACTGAGCTGAAGCCTGCGCCGGGTCTCCGGGGGGATCGGCCCGGGACTGAGATCGCTCCCGGCCTGGGACTGAGCTGAAGCCTGCGCCGGGTCTCCGGGGGGATCGGCCCGGGACTGAGATCGCTCCCGGCCTGGGACTGAGCTGAAGCCTGCGCCGGGTCTCCGGGGGGATCGGCCCGGGACTGAGATCGCTCCCGGCCTGGGACTGAGATCCCTACCGGCCCGAGACTGAGATCGCTCCCGGCCTGGGACTGAGATCCCTACCGGCCCGAGACTGAGATCCCACCCACCGTGTTCGGTGGGTGGTGACCTCGTGTTCGGTGGGTCGCCGCGTGCCTTCCACCATGCTAGGTGAGCTCAGTTCTCTTGCCAAGCAGTCATTCAAAGTCTGCTAGAGGTGGGGTGGGCCGGGGCCATGACCGTGAGGGAGCTCCATCCATACGTACCACTCCCTTGCCTGTCCTGTAGAGGTGCCGGGACCGGAGTGATGTCACATTCTGGCTCCCGGCACCTCTACAAGGCATGCAAAGGAGCTGCACCAGCATTGCACGTATGGATGGAGCTCCGTCACAGCACAGCAGCCCACACCGGACCCCGGGCCGAGGATCCGCTCCAGTTCTTGTAAGGTATGGAGACTGGATGGAACCTTTGAATGGCATCCCAAATGCACCTCCCACCTACAGTCCTATCGCCCGCACCGGAACGCGCGGTACCGACTTGGGTCGCCACTTAATGACCGAGGACAAATGTGGGTCCTGAGGTGACACCGGTTGAGAACCACAGCTGCAGAGAACTTCCCTATACAGCCAATACCAGGGGAGTGGGAATATGGGACCAGTGAAGTTCCGATGGAAGTGGGTCCATCTGTTGGTGGTGATGGGAAAGGTCCACCTTGGTGTACGTGCCTGGTAGCCTGGGTCTCCATGTCTCATGGTGTTCAGTAGGACCCCCTGCAGGCCAAGCATGGAACTACTGTGTGTAATTCCCAACATGGCCCCAGTATGAACCTGAATGATGGAAGGAACTGGAGGGGTGGCTGGTAGCATCGTGGCCCTGCCATCAACTAAAAACCTTACCGTTGGCCCCAGTGTGGAACCTGACCTAACAACCTGCCACTAGGGGGCGCTATACTATGGGATTAATTTATAAAAGTTCTGCCTGGTGTGTAGCCGGGAGGATTCTGTTCGCACGGCACCAGCGCCCCTAGATAATGCTGAAGAGTATTGGGTCATCTTATACTTGTCAGCACCATCTAAGAGCGCTAGGACCATGCTGGCAGAATCCTCCCGGATACACCAGGCAGTACCGAACAATTTGGATGACACTGAAAATAATCTCGGTGTTTGGCAGCCGCGCGGCATTGTAGCCTCTCTAATTCTTCCCCCCGTACCAGCCAAAATATTTGTCTATAAATATATTATAAAAGCAGCGAGCCGGCACAGGAAGACAAATTCCACAGGAACAGAAAACTCCGCGGCTCGGCATTACCTCCTATTATGGAGAATACCTTCAGGTGTGGTGACCTCATTACCTCCTCTTATGGTGACTCCATTACCTCCTCTCATGGTGACTCCATTACCTCCTCTTATGGTGGATCCATTACCTCCTCTTATGGTGACTCCATTACCTCCTCTTATGGTGACTCCATTACCTCCTCTTATGGTGACTCCATTACCTCCTCTTATGGTG